CAACCAACTTCATGCCGGTGTAACCCGACAGCATCTTGCCTCAGGCGTCTCCTGCGCCTCTCTGGTTTCCGTCCTGGGCTTTCCTATTGATGCCTTCGAGCAGGATGCCAAGGAACTCAGATCAGCACACATATTTGTAGGACCCCAAATTGTGGGGTTTTTGGCCTGATGGGATCAGTCTTTGACCAATGAGGATGGTTGCTTGCTGATGGCTAGCTAATTTCCTCTTTTACTTCCTTCACTTCCCTTGCTCCTTCACAATGTTGAGGGGCTAACATAAGGGTTTTCAGTCTGTCCTATGGCCCCAGTAGCCAGTAGCTTAAAGCAGAGGCCGACTTGAGAGTGTACTTTTCCAACGGCTCTCCTTCTCTGCTGCATCATTGCCGCTACCCCTCATGCCTGCACCCTGCCATCACACCCCAGACCTTTATTTCAGGCTCTGCTTTCTGGGAACTTCAGCTAAGACCAACAGAGAATGTTACAGCTGGAACAAATTTTAGAAATTGTTTAGTATGATCTGCTTGTGAGTGACAGAACTGAAAACAATTAGTGGTTGAAGTCACTAGATTCATAGACTAGTGTTCTTTCAGCCTTACAGAGAATGTTTTTAATAACACAAGTGTGAAAAAAGGCTATATATTACTATTTATTATTATTGTTATTTCTGAGAAATACGGTTATTTCCCAGAAATATATATTGTTATTTCTGGGCAATACTCTGACTTAAGCATCGCCATCTGTTTTGCCCCACCTTTCCTTCTTCCATCCTGGGCCGTGTCCTCTTCCTGACCCAATCACTTTCTCCCATTTTATATTCCTGGTATTCTTAGCTGACTGCCTGCCAACATCTACTTTCAGGGAGTCATTTATTTTAAAGTGTAAATAACATTTTCGTACAGGGCTACTTGGTCCCTAGAGATCTGCATTTGAAAAAGAGTTCAAATTTTATTGAAAAGCAGTGGGAGAACCATGTATGTCTCCCCAATGTTGCAAATCATAGTCATCAATTATACGAGACTAGAGTGGAGAGATGCACTGGGATTATGGAAGTTAATGTGTATTTACATTAAATATCCCATTTCTTTATCACCTGTTTTCCCCATCATGGTACCTTGTAAACCTTAAACATGTTCTTAAGTGTTACCACCCACTTCGATTTCAGGATGCTAGTGAAGCTACAAAAGATCGTCTATAAATAAACAAGTAAAAATGCCTCCTTAGTTATCCGTCCCTTCCAAAGCATTGTGTCCCCAATGCATATACACATAGCTTCAAACTTGCAATGCTGTAACTTCAAATAAATATAATGGTAGTAATACTACTAAACTTTATTGAGTACTTGCTGCATTGCCAGGCATTGGGCTAAGTGCATCATAAGCATACTTTTCATTTTGCTCTCAGGCAAAGAAGGACAATGATCCCAGAGAGATGGGAAATAAATCCTGTAACTGTCCCAGTTCACCATCTTCAGAGAGTTTCCAGGCAATGGTGTGTGGAGGTGGAATCAAGACGGAGCGGGGAGGAGAGTCCTCCTTGTACATTCAGCTGAGTGCCGACCAGCAATGTGCATGTGAGGGAAAACCACCGGCAAGAGTAAAGGTGACTGTGCCCACACTCACACACGGATGCCGATGGCTCCGGCCCTACCTGCCAGACTAGAAAACCTCATGCTGCAAAGCGCATTGGGTACAGTATTCAGAAGAGTCTTTCCTCAGCAATGCGGAACAATTCATTCTCCACTGAATAGCGCTTTGGTCTGACACGACAAATTTAAAAAGTGAGTTGCAAAAGGATCAAACTCTTTCCAAATAACTTTAGTCTGTCCCAGAATAGAGTTCAAGAATATTTATAAAAATACAAAAATATGTAGTATAAATTTATAATATAAAGGTAAAATTCATATGTCTGACATTCAATCAGAAAATAGGAGACCTGAAAGATACCAACATAGAATCCTCTATCCAGCTAAATAAGTAAAAACAACCCACGGACATAAATGAAACAAAACCCCCAAGCTATCAAAAACAAAGGTGAAATGAATTTTTTGAACACACAACAGTGAAAGAATTCATCACCAGCAGAACTGCACTACAGGAAACAGTAAAGCAAATCCTTCATGGGGAAGGAAAATGATATCAGATGAAAACCTGGATTTACACAAAGAAATGAACAGCACCAGAAATGGCAACTACGTGAGTAAATAAATACATTTTTAAATTAATTAAATCTTTTAAAAAGATAATTGACTACTTTAAAAATTACATTAATATAGTATGGGGTTTAAAATATTGTAAAATAAAATGGATGAAAACAGCAAAAAAGATTGGGAGGAAATTAATGGGAGTATATTATCCTGAGGTTCTCTTACTGTATGTGAAGTGGTATAGCATTACTTGAAGGAAGATGGTGACGTATAATTTAAACACTGTTGTTATTTAGTTGCTCAGTCCTGCCCGATTCTTATGCGATTCCATGGACTGTAGCCCCCACTCCTCTGTCCATGGGATTTCCCACTACCAGGCTTCTTTGTCCATGGGAATTTCCAGGCAAGAACACTGGAGTGGGTTGCCATTTCCTTCTCCAGGGGATCTTCCCAACCCAGGAATTGAACCCGTGTCTTCTGCTTTGCAGGCAGATTCTTTACTACTGAGTCATCGGGGAAGCCCTGTTATAAACGCTATGTGCTTAGTCACTCAGTCCTGTCTGACTCTGCGGCCCCGTGGACTGTAGGCCTCCAAGCTCCTCTGTCCATGGGGTTCTCCGGGCAAGAACACTGGAGTGGGTTGCCAAGTCCTCCTCCAGGATAAACACTATAGCAACCACTAAAATAAAATAGCTATAGCTAATAAGCTAGCAATAGAGATAAAATGGAATCATAAAAAACATTCAATCAACCCAAAAGAATGCAGAAAAACGGGAAAAAAAAAACAAAGAACAGAAGAACATATAAAAAACAAATAGCAAGATGATAGATTTCAACCCAACCATATCCATAACATACTGTATGGAAATAGTCTGAAGAGCTCAATAAAAGGCTGAGATTGTTTGCATAAAAAAAGCGAGACCCAATGTTAAGGTGACTACAGGAAACACATTTGAATATACACAAATAAGTTAAAAGCGATAGGATGGGAAGTTATGTACCATGCTAAAACACTAATCAAAACTGGAGTGCTATATTAATATTAGACAAAGCATATTCCACAGTAAATAATATTACCAGGGATAATGAATGTAACTTCACAATGATAAAAATATCAATTAATCAAGCGACATAATAATCCTAAGTGTTTATGGATTACAGGCTTCAAAATGCATGAAGCAAAACTTCGTAAAAGGACAAGAAGAAATCGACAAATCCACAATTAAGTCAGATTTTGATTCCGATTGTTGTTAGGAAGTCAGAAATCAGTAAGAATACAGAAGATTCGAACAACACTATCAAACTAATTGACATTTATGGAGAATTCCCACCAAACAACATTTTTTTCAAGTGTACATGAAACAATTACCAAGATAGATCACTGAATCCTTATTAGGTCTGTTCTAGCATTATTTCCATTTACAGCTGAATCAACGAAGGCATGAAGAGGTAGGTAACTTCTGAAGATACAATATAATTAAGGGTCACAGCTGGGCATTGCACTCAGATTATCTGACCCAGAAGTCTTAATCAGCAAGCTCTACCACCTCCCTGAACACCTGGAACAGCTCAGGTCTCAGTGAAGTCTCTAGGACTTAGGATGCAATCCCTTTAAAAGATAAACAAAGGAGTAGGTTACTCAAATAGCATTTTCTAAATACTACTTAGAGAGGAACTACTTTCCCCCTTTCTTCTCATATTCTCATTCAGCCCAAATGGCTAGGCTGCTTCCTTTAAATGACATGACTTATAGGTAACATAAACTCAGGTTCCAGAGTCGCTGGGCCTGAAAGGGAAGACAGTTGCAGATTAAAGTCTAAGAGGCTCAGGGGAGCCGTCACTTCCTGAGGCTGCCTCTGTGTTGGATGGGTGGTCTAACACACATTCCAACTGGATCAAGATGCCTGCTGGCCCCTCTTTACATGCCAGGATCCGGACAGCAGCTCCTTTGGCAGGATGTGAATACATTTTTATTAAAAAGAGGCAAAGAACCCTTAGCTTATGGTTGACTTTCTTTGTCCACCTTGTTATCTCTATTACTGGTACCAAAGTGTATGTAATAATGACAAGACGGAAAAATGCTGTTCTGTTTTTCGGGCGAGGTTTCCTCACTTATCAGCAACAAAATGCCACAGAGGGGAACACCTTTGTAATGGGTCTTTGGCTGAGGCTGGGCACACGGGTGTTCTATGGGAGGAAATATGAAATGAGGATATTACTCCGCCTGACTAAGCTGAGGGGAGGATTTATGTTGCTCGGCAAGCATGCATCTGGACAGGGAAATTTAACAAAAAATCAATTTTCTCCTTCAGACGGTCTCCCCCACCCCCCTTCCTTCGCCGCTCTCCCTCTCCTCCGGCGCACTGAGCCTCCATCCTTTCTCCATCCTCCATCCTTTCTCCATCCTCCATCCTTTACTCCATCCTCCATCCTTTACTCCATCCTCCATCCTTTCTCCATCCTCCATCCTTTCTCCATCCTCCATCCTTTACTCCATCCTCCATCCTTTACTCCATCCTCCACCCTTTACTCCATCCTCCATCCTTTCTCCATCCTCCATCCTTTCTCCATCCTCCATCCTTTNGCCCCCAGGAGGCGGGGCCCGGAAGCCAATCAGGAGGCCCTCGACCAATCAGGAGGCGAGGCCGAGCCCGTCTTCCCCTCCCCGGCCCGCTCACGGGCGGGCGGCGCGCAGTGGAAAGTTGGGAGCCGCGGCGGCTGATTCGGGCGGAGAGCTGCAGCGGCGGCGGCGGCGAGGGCAGCGGACTCGGCGCGGCGCCGCTGGCTCGGAGCGGTCCCCGGGGCATGGGCCGGGCGCGCCGCCCGCACTCAGCCACACGCCGCCCCGGCCGCGGGCACTCGGCCGTCCAGAAGGAGGCTGCGTCCGGACGAAGGCTGCCGCATCTTTGCCTGCCTGGCTCCGTGCAGGGATTTCGGGTTCGGTGCTCGTCCCCATCTGATTCTTAGCCCCCAACTTTTTGCAAGGTCAAAGAGGTTTCTGAAGTCGAATAAATTGCCCCGAGAGGAAACCCACTACCTGTTGAGGAGGGCTCAGCAGAGTGCTTAGGCGCTCCAGGAAAAAAAGAAAAAAGGAAAAAAAGGAAAAGACAAAATGATTTCCTGGGACATGGTCCACACCATACTCCTGCTCGCTCTTGTTTATCCTTCCCGAGCGCAGGATGCAATCCCCCAGTCCGAGGTCGAGGCAGAAGAAATTCCCGAGGGGGCCTCCACATTGGCATTTGTGTTTGATGTGACTGGTTCCATGTATGATGATCTAGTTCAGGTGATCGAGGGGGCTTCCAAAATTTTGGAGACGTCTTTGAAAAGACCTAAGAGACCTCTTTTCAACTTTGCTTTGGTGCCTTTCCACGATCCAGGTAAGGGAAATACTTGTTCTTTGTTATTCCTTATGATTACGTTGTTTCTTATGCTACGAAATTGCGTGTCAGTAAGTTTCAGAACCATTTTTAAATGTGTAGCTGAATACTGTTGTAACAAAGAATTGCTCGCTTACATCTGGGTTTGCTCTCGGATACCTGCTCAAGTCTCAGCCTTGGAGATGGCTTGTTTGGGGTGCTTGCACAGTGGTACCCAAACCTGGAAAGTGTGGAATTATGAAAACCAGAGCAATGATGTCAAAATCAGTTAACTTAAAAATTTTGAAACTAAATGTTTAAGGCAGAGCGGTTCATTGGGTATTCAGCAGCAGTGCTATAACAGCTAACACACAACTTGAGAGCATTCTCAAGATAACTCTCAAGTTAGGGGGAGAAAAACCTGTTGTGTGAGACACAGGGAAGCTTGTAAGCAATAATTACTAGTAAACTGAAGAGATGAAAATAAGCCATTCATTTGTTAATTGAATCTACTGATCTTCGCACCAGATCATCATTAGTTCGGCTCACAGATGGTAATAAATGTGTCCTCCTTTCATCCAGTAGAAATGCATGTAATTTGGTATGGCGGTGCTCCTTAAAGGTAGTTGAAGTACAGTCACTTTATTTTTTGCCCTAAAGCCATGGGTTTCAGCTGCTGCGCGGTAATTTGATCCTCTTTACTTTTTTCAGTTTCTCTTTAAAGTGGCACCTTTCTGTGAGGCTCATAGGAGCTCTCATTGTCAATGTGAGGGCAGCATCGCCTGGGGAACCCTGGGGCTGGCTGTCTAGCATCCACCTGAGTTTCATTAGCACAACTCACTACCCAGTCGAAGAAATAAAGCAGTGGTTTCTTGAAGTTCTCCCCCACTGTTCTCTCACATTTTTATTGAAATTCTCTTTTCACTAGAAGACTTTGACACAGTCACTTCACAATGAAAACTTGATATTGAGAATCTCAAATTCTTTCCTTGTGCTTTTGACAAGCATATGATAGTTCAATTTATTGCTTGGTTTTAAATGTGGCAGGTTTCAGCTGTTAAAGAATTGGCAGGGGGAGGAGTTTAGAGGGATTTTTGTTTGTTCTTCAAATGATGAAAATAATAACCTGTCCTGTTCTGTGCTATGCATATAACCTTAGTAATTTCTATGTTATTAAAAATAAAACTTTTAACATTTGAATAAAGAATGATCATTTACTGTGTTAGCTGTCTCAGTGAGACACCTCATGTGTTACAATGTTTTAATTTATTAAATGTCAAGATACCAATTGTGATGCAGACCAAGACTTTGTTAGCTTGGAATAGGCTAAATATGTTTCTTCTGTAGGAGTGAATCTAAGATTGGCAAAAATGTAAAGTAAAAATTCTTTCTGTGACAACATAGTTTGCTTTCCTCCAAAAAGCTTTTATGAAATGATGTTGCTGTAAACAGAACTCAAAAAATTGCCTCAGAACTCAAAAAATTGCCTCGTCATAAATGCAAACTAGATCATCATGATATTTATTTTGATATGATATGAACAAAATTATTGGAATAAATTTTATTGTGGTGTGTTCCCTTCCAATTGTTACCAAATAGGAAAATTTATTGTAGTTTACTTTCCTTTATTTTGGCCATCATGATTCAAAGTAGGGGAAACTTAGTATGCTAATAAAAAATGACTAATAGATTAGTTACTTTGAATTAAATAATAAGAAAAAATAATTAACTTAAATTGGCTCCATAAAATTAATTGTGTGTATAATTCAGCAAAAGCTGTTCTGGTTTCATTGTGATTCAAAGAAAAGTGTTTTTGAACTTAAAGATGAGAATAGAAAAAAAAAAAAGAATAGAAATTAAAACATACTAATAACCTTTAGTTTACTAACTCACAATAATGGATTGTAATATTATCTCTGCATGTCATTTTTTGTTTGTGTGTGTGTACAGTAATTAAGAATTTTTGACTCCCTTGTACTTTTGATTGGCTATCAACTTGGAATCACCAGTGGACAGAACGGGCCTTGAATGGAGATTTATTGGCTTACTGAGTGACGTTGGAAAAGTCTGTCTACATTTTTGTATCCGTTATCTCAGTTATAAAATGGCAGAATTGGATTTGAACATCTCTAAGGTCACTTCCAACAGTAACGTTTTACGACTATTTTACACATGGTAGTTTTTCACAGTCCCTGATACAACCGACAGCAAATAAATGATGTGTGTAATTTAATATAGTTATATTAATAACATAGCTTTTCAAAGTGCTGTGGTTGAATTTAGCTAGATGAAATAATGAATAAGATTTGGGATATAGTCTCAGGCATTTGACAGAGAACTTAAGGCCTTCACAGATGATTGCTTTGGACCTCTGCATAATAATGGGGGGCAAGCTGTGTGTTTTGAGGTGGGGGTAAAAATGAAAACACATGCTTGTGTAGGTGGCTCAGACAGTAAAGAATCTGCCTGCAATGCAGGCCACCCAAGTTCGGTCCCTGGGTTGGGAAGATCCTCTGGAGAAGGGAATGGCAACCCACTCCAGTATTCTTGCCTGGGAAATCCCATGAACTGAGAGGAGCCTGGTAGGCCACAGTCCGTGGGGTTGCAAAGAGTCGGAATGACTGAGCGACTAACACTTTCACATAGACGTACGAGAGGAATAAGTCAACAAGTTGACAAGGCGGTAATAAAATCACTCAGAAAAATGTAGGAAGCTAGTGTTAGAGGAGTAACATGTGCTCATGGTAACCCATTAGTAGGAGAAACCGTGGTAGGAGGAAGTAGCACAGAGCGCCAGGGTCATGGCAAGTCAAGACAGCTTTTTGATGCTACCTCTGCTTAAGGTGGGTTTTCCACTTTCATGATCACATTTAATATATTAATTTTTAATAGCTTTGTTGACCTTACTATATAATCACTCACTTAAAACATATAATTCTGTGATTTATAGTATATTCAGAGATTGTTATTGTTGTTCAGTCACTAGGTTATGTCCAACTCTTTGTGACCTCATGAACTTAAGCATGCCAGGCTTTCCTGTCCTTCACTATCTCCCAGAGTTTGCTCAAATTTATGTCCATTGATTTAGTGATGCTATCTAACCATCTCATCCTCTAGTTAGCCCCCTTGTCCTTTTGCCTTCAATCTTTCCCAGCATCAGGGTGTTTTCCAATGAGTTGGCTCTTCGCATCAAGTGGCCAACATGAAGCTTGAGCTTCAAAATACGTCCTTCTGATGAATATTCAGGGTTGATTTCCTTTAGGATTGACTGGTTTGAAGTTCTTGTAGTGCAAGGAAATCTCAGGAGTCTTCTCTAGCACCACAATTCAAAAGTATCAGTTCTTTTGTTCTCAACCTTCTTTCTGGTCCCAACTCTTACATCCATGACTACTGGAAAAACTATAGTTTTGACTCTGTGGACCTTTGTTAGCAAAGTGATGTCTCTGCTCTTTAATATGCTGTCTAGGTTTGTCATAGCTTTCCTTCCAAGGATCAAGCGTCTTTAATTTCATGACTGCCGTCACTGTCAGCAGTGATATAGACATATGCAACCATACCTCAGTCAAGTTTGGAACATCTTCCTCACTTTAAAGAGACACCCTGTGCCTTTTTATTTATCTGTCCTCTCACCTCCACCCCCTCCCCATATTATCCTCCTCCCAGGCCTAAGCAGCTACTAATTTACTTTTTGTCTCTGTGAATTTTCCTATTCTAGACTTTCATATGAATGGAATCATATATTATCTTTTTTTGACTGACTTCTTTCGCTTTAGCATAATGTTTTTAAGATTTATCCACATCATAGTATATATCAGTAATTCATTTTTATGGCCAAATAATTATCCATTTTATAGATATACCATAGTTTGTTTATATTTTAATCTATAATGGATATTTGAGTTGTTTCCACTTTTTGGCTAGTATGAATAATACTTCTGTTAACTATTTGTGGGCAGTTTCCTGTGTGGACATAGGTGATACTGTGATTTGTAATATGAAATAAATATTTTATCTTTGTCACCTTTTCTAGCATGCAGCTCTTAAAACTCTTGAAATTTCCTAATTGATGAGAACCATAAAGGTATCTTCTGTCATGTTAATGAGGTGACTTTTGGACTTCACTGAAGAATGAGGGCTCATTGCCAGGAGACTCATCCCTGTTAGAGGTTAGAACTCTCAGTCCCACCCCTAACCTCTGGAGAATGTTCCATGTGTACTTGAAAAGAATGTGTATTTTGCTGTTTGGGGATGGAATGTTCTATAATAGTCTGTTATGTCCATCTGGTCTAATGTGTCATTTAAGGCCAACTTTTTCTTACTGATTTTCTATTTGGATGAGCTAGTTACTGATGCAAATAGTATGTTCCAGTCCTCTATTGTTATCATATCACTCTCAATTTGTCCCTTTATGTCTGCTAATGTTTTATATTTAGGTTTTTTTTGTGTTGGGTGCATATTACAAGTATTATCCTTTTATTGAATTGTTCCCTTTATAATTGTGTAACATTCTTCTTTGTTTTAAAGCCTGTTTTGTCTGATATTCTTATTGCTACTCCAACAGTTCATTTTGTTGTATGGAATATCTTTGTTTCATTCCTTCACTTTTAATCTATGTTTTTACAACTGAAGTGAGTCTTTTACTGGCAGTGTAGATACAGGCTATAAAAAAATCCATTCAGCCACCCGATGTCTTTTGATTGGAGCACTTAGTCAATTTACATTTAGAGTAATTAGTCATAGGTTGTACTTACTGCCATTTTGTTAGTTGTTTTATGGTTTTTTTCTTAGTTGTCTTCTGTTCCTTCCTTCTCTTGTTCACTTCCCTTGTGATCTGATGACCTTTTTTTGTGTGTGTGTTTGTATTTCTTGTATTTTTTGTGTATCTAGTATCAGTTTTGCATTTGTGGTTACCATGAGGTTTGTATGTAACAACCTATGTAAATATAACAAGCAGTTAGTCACTTAAGTTCAAGAACATTCTGAAAGCACTAATATCTGTCCATTCTCAACATTTTATAATT